TTTAAAATGTACCTATAAACAAGCCAAAATGCTTGAATGGAATGATTTTAATGGATCTGTCTGTTCGAAGCAATCTGCAAATATAATCCATAAATCATAATAGGTGTGGCTGGCCAAGGGGACAGAAACATCGCTCTCCAACTATTGTTGCTTTGAAAGTCAACTGGTCACTAAATCAAACTGTAGCATCTGATCAGGATCCACTGGGCACACACTGGTTGAATCAACATTCTTTCCAAATCATTTCAATGAAATTATGTTGAACTAACGCAGAATAGACGTTGAATTGACGTCTGTGCCCAGTGGGGAATATCCTTTCTAACATGGACACGTTCCCTTATGTTTGATACATGAGTGGGTTTTGACAATAGACAATTCAGCATTACAGCTCCCAAAGGACAGGAATAATCAGTATTGGAAATAGATGGCTCCTCACTCTTTATAAATGCAGATGAGCTCTACCAAGGGATGTTGGTTAGGTTGAGGTGATTCTTTTTTACTGTCATGCAGTACATTATTATATATTTTGATCAAATGAAAATGAAAATGAGTGCCACATCTATGCATTTGATGATGCTTGTAATATCCTTTTCTGTGAAGTACGTCTCTACACAAAAGTCTGAGGGACAACAAGCATAAAAAATGTTATAATAAAATCACCTGGGAGCATGAGAAGCAGTGTGTGGCGTTTTCCTTTCTGTTTTCCATGAGTTCTCCTACAACTCCAGCACCTGCAGAAAGTACCTGGATGGGCGTCTGTTCTTTTGTATAAGCATCAATACCACATGTACTGTAAATAGGATAGTATAAAATATATCTTTAGGATGCCTCTGTTTTTCTTATATAAGATTATGTAAATGCTATAGTCTGTAAATGCTATGGTCTGTCAATCTGATGTAATACAATATGACAGCGGTATCTAAGCTTGTGAGAGGCAGACGTAGCAAGAATGGTGGGAAGCCTGAACCCTTCTGGTCAAAATTGTCAGGTCAGTTATGATTACAGTGAAGTTCGTCAATGATAGAAATGTGAATGTTGGCAGGGATGAGGCATCACATCTCTCTAAGACTGGACCACCGTGGCTTCCCAGATTATGTGGCATTAAAACACAGCTCCAGAAGTCAAGAAGGGGAAACCATATAATTTCAATGTTTGAGTGTGAAAAATGTTTTGAAACGTTATGTTTCCCTCTTTGACTTCTGGCAGCAAGCATGACTAGAATATCAACCTCTGCTTTCCAGCACATATGCACCAAACCACATATTGGATATTCTGAGTAAACCACATTGTGAAGACTTGTCAATCTGCAAATATAATCCATAAATCATAATAGGTGTGGCTGGCCAAGGGGACAGAAACATCGCTCTCCAACTATTGTTGCTTTGAAAGTCAACTGGTCACTAAATCAAACTGTAGCATCTGATCAGGATCCACTGGGCACACACTGGTTGAATCAACATTCTTTCCAAATCATTTCAATGAAATTACGTTGAACTAACGCAGAATAGACGTTGAATTGACGTCTGTGCCCAGTGGGGAATATCCTTTCTAACATGGACACGTTCCCTTATGTTTGATACATGAGTGGGTTTGACAATAGACAATTCAGCATTACAGCTCCCAAAGGACAGGAATAATCAGTATTGGAAATAGATGGCTCCTCACTCTTTATAAATGCAGATGAGCTCTACCAAGGGATGTTGGTTAGGTTGAGGTGATTCTTTTTTACTGTCATGCAGTACATTATTATATATTTTGATCAAATGAAAATGAAAATGAGTGCCACATCTATGCATTTGATGATGCTTGTAATATCCTTTTCTGTGAAGTACGTCTCTACACAAAAGTCTGAGGGACAACAAGCATAAAAAATGTTATAATAAAATCACCTGGGAGCATGAGAAGCAGTGTGTGGTGTTTTCCTTTCTGTTTTCCATGAGTTCTCCTACAACTCCAGCACCTGCAGAAAGTACCTGGATGGGCGTCTGTTCTTTTGTATAAGCATCAATACCACATGTACTGTAAATAGGATAGTATAAAATATATCTTTAGGATGCCTCTGTTTTTCTTATATAAGATTATGTAAATGCTATAGTCTGTAAATGCTATGGTCTGTCAATCTGATGTAATACAATATGACAGCGGTATCTAAGCTTGTGAGAGGCAGACGTAGCAAGAATGGTGGGAAGCCTGAACCCTTCTGGTCAAAATTGTCAGGTCAGTTATGATTACAGTGAAGTTCGTCAATGATAGAAATGTGAATGTTGGCAGGGATGAGGCATCACATCTCTCTAAGACTGGACCACCGTGGCTTCCCAGATTATGTGGCATTAAAACACAGCTCCAGAAGTCAAGAAGGGGAAACCATATAATTTCAATGTTTGAGTGTGAAAAATGTTTTGAAACGTTATGTTTCCCTCTTTGACTTCTGGCAGCAAGCATGACTAGAATATCAACCTCTGCTTTCCAGCACATATGCACCAAACCACATATTGGATATTCTGAGTAAACCACATTGTGAAGACTTGTCGACTGTGCAGAGAAGAACCGCCAGTAAGTGTAAATAGAGAATTAATTAAAAAGTCCAGAAAATGACTTTTGTAATTGTTATGTCTTGGAGCAAATTAATCTGGTACATAGGACTTGCCATGACAAATATTAGGCTTATGATTAATAGAATTAGCTAGAGTCACTTTTATACATTTCCATATTTTTCATTCCCTTTATTGGTGAGACACAATTCGTCAATGTTGTTGAGACATAGAGACAGCTTCATGAAAATATATTATTGACAGGAGTTGTGGAAAAACAAATAACAGGGTCTGGAAAAGGTTTTTGAATACAGCCAGACCAGCCATATTCATCAGAGTGATACATCTAAGGTACAGTGTTGGTTTGGATGTAGCCATAGTGATTTCTTAGCTCTGTGTCCCTATTCAATTAATAAAGACGTACAAATTAATCAGAAAAAAAAACATTTATAGATTCCCTCTGCATTGATAGAACATCATGCAGCTCTAGATAAGATATAACTTAGAGGATCATTTGGAATATCTTATGCAAAAATCTGTAAAGATGGCAGCACAGTCATTATCTAATTCATAGTAAAGATGAGAACTCCATTGTATTAGCTCAAACCACTTTATAATCCCTCCCCAAACATTCTTGAATTGAAGACCCCAAATCTGTTCAACACTAGATAACCTTTCCAAACAATGTTTCTATCATAACAAATTCGTCCCGATGGAATTTCTCAGCGATGTTTAAATTATTTTCTTGATGCTGGAAAATAACAATTGAGAGCACTGACTGCTTCCAAAATACAACTGGTGCTGTTCGCCTGCCCAGGTCAAGATCAATGCTTTGTTTTGCCGCCAAGCTGTATCTCTCAAATCTATCTATCTATCTATCTATCTATCTATCTATCTATCTATCTATCTATCTATCTATCTATCCAGGGGCATAGTCCTGATCCACTGGCATTGGGGATTCAAGATGAACAACAAATGTAAAAAGCTCTATAGAAATAAATATAAAGATACGGTAAAACAACAAGATTGTTCCATCGCTTCACAAACACAAAACAAAAATAGCTCACACAGCAACATTTAACACATTGCAATATATTCAGTTCCCCTATTGGTGGGAAAAGAAGACTAAGTGAACTAAAGCAACAATGAAGAGCAGATTAACATTTAGCTATTTACAAATGTTGGCATTAAACTTGGATGAAGAAATAATGTCAGTGTTTGTAGTCCCTTTTTAATCAGTAATGTACTATATGTTGTGTTGTGAGTTGCTGTATTGTGGAATGATTCAATGTGGAATGTTTCTGAAACTATAGGCTGTATTCAATCCGTATCGCAGAAGATCCGCATTATAGCGCAGGTAAAATGTAAAGGTCATTTCCGATTGCGCCAACACATGCAGTGTTTACCATGAATGCCGTCTCCGCGAACGCCGAAACATTGCCTTTAAATTTCATTGGAGCTATAGCGCGGATCTTCCACGATACGGATTGAATCTAGACCTATCTTACCATATCCAGGTTTAATGGCTGGTAGCCTCTATCCATAGAACAGTCAGAGAAATTACACTTGACACACAGATCAGCCACAAAAGTTGTCCTAGGTCGAAGTGACCAAAATGAAGTAGAAATGAATGGACCAATTCTATCCATTCCTTTCTGCATGTGTTATTCAGTAGTAGAGCATCTGAAGCTTAATGTTTAAAACATATATATGACAAATATATCATTTCATCATAGTCTTGATGATGATGTTGATAGGCTGACCCAGATAAACTAAGCACTTTATGCAAAACAACCTCATGTAAGGCATTGTAAAGGAGCATAATATTGCTTTCCAGCAAAAAAAGCACACACACAAGATTCACAAATAGACGACTAAAATTAGAACTACACCTAAACCTGTTCCTTTTGAACACACATTGACAATGCTACAGCTTTTAAAAACTCCCTCATGTTAGTCTTTGGATTTGAAATATAGGCCTATGCATGAACACTTGGTCCAGATTGGATGTTTTTCCTTCCTTGCTGTTCTACAAACTGCATAATAAGAATGGAACAGTTAAGATTGATAATATTTCTGTACAGGAAAGGTGACCCTGCTGAGAACCCAAGGCATGGGCAACATCAACTGAGAAGCAATTATAGGGGGTATATTAGATATACCATCAATATTTACACAACACATAGCCAGTTGAAGATTAGCATCACAGTATGTACATTGCAAAATCCATTCTCTGCTTCTCCCGTTCCTTTTCTATAGAACTATACATTTCCCCATTTCCCTTTTCGGTACTGACTGGACCAGCTGATTAAGTCAAATATTGTACAGTATACACATATTCATACCACTAGCTACCATCCTGCTACTCTGGAGGCTATAACCCTGGGGTGACATTGTGGACTGGGGGAGATCCCCACGTGTTAGGGGCTAGCAGCAGCAGGAGGAGGAAGAAGAGAAGTGCTGGGTGGTCTAGAACTTGGTGCTGTGGCTGAAGCTGTCCGACATGATAATGTTCTTGTAGAAGTTGTCGGAGCGCACCGAGCAGTAACCTTTGACCTTGTCAATGACCTGGTGCACGGGGATGATGGAGGAGGAGGAGGCCTCACCCTCTGAGGAGACACTTTTAGCATTGGTCTGATTGGAGTAACCTTTACCTGTTCAATGGTAAGGAGCGACAAGGTCATGGTTAAGAAAGAACACAATGATCTTTGTTATCTTCAACAATACTGCAGTGCACATTTTTTTGTTTTTCTTAAACTCACAATGACCCAAAATTGAAAAATAAGCTAGTGAAAAACACATCACTAAGCACATACACAAAGTAGATATAAATCAATATATGATTGTGTATATATGATTGTAGGCTGAATATGTGGCACTCATTTTAAACAATTCTAATGCATAGGCTTTGCGAAGATGATTTGCCTGTGATTGCTGTGCAACACAGCCTGTTTCTTAATCTTGGAAAATGTTTGAGGTTTAGGTTTATGTCTAGTTACTGTTTAAATTGAGTCCCAATATTTTCTGAGGAACAGTTCACATGCATCTGTGCATTCTTGTGGAAATCATTCCTAAACACACATGCACATTCAAACAACATTAAAATTCCACCACAACGGACAACTATGCATAACTCTGTGTATCTAGCCAAAATGTTTGAACCATTTTCATCTGTTTTTGTCTTATTCTTGTTTTGTTTGCCAAGTGATGAAATATTTTGGTTGGTCTTTGCCATTTGATAATGTCACAGCAAAAACATCCATCAAAACTCAATTATTTTAATCGGTCAACTCAGGAATAACACAGGCTTTGCAATGCAAAGACTTTGGCATCTTCAGTGACAGAACTTCTGGCTGCCTCCTCACCCCACTGTCAACTCACCATGTATGGGAAAAAGTGTGACTAACGGTTTGACTTATCGAGAGTAAAGTCAGAAACACATATAGTGCATTCGGAAAGTATTCAGACCCCTTGACTTTTTCCACATTTTGTTACATTACAGCCTTATTCTAAAATTGATTAAATTGTTTTTTCCCCTCATCAATCTACACACAATACCCCATAATGACAAAACAAAAACAGGTTTGTAGAAATGTTTGGTTATTTTTTAAATAATTTTTTTACTGAAATATGACATTAACATAAGTATTCAGACCCTTTACTCAGTACTTTGTTGAAGCACCTTTGGCAGCGATTACAGCCTTGAATATTCTTGGGTATGACGCTACAAGCTTGGCACACCTGTATTTGGGGAGTTTCTCCCATTCTTCTCTGCAGATCCTCTCAAGCTCTGTCAGGTTGGATGGGGAGCGTCGCTTCACAGCTATTTCCAGGTCTCTCCAGAGATGTTCGATCGGGTTCAAGTCCGGGCTCTGGCTGGGCCACTCCAGGACATTCAGAGAATTGTCCCGAAGCCACTCCTGCGTTGTCTTGGCTGTGTGCTTAGGGTCGTTGTCCTGTTGGAAGGTGAACATTCGCCCCAGTCTGAGTTCCTGAGCGCTCTGGAGCAGGTTTTCATCAAGGATCTCTCTGTACTTTGCTCCGTTCATCTTTCCCTCAATCCTGACTAGTCTCCCAGTCCCTGCCGCTGAAATACATCCCCACAGCATGATGCTGCTACCACCATGCTTCACTGTAGGGATGGTGCAAGGTTTCCTCCAGACGTGACGCTTGGCATTCAGGCCAAAGAGTTCAATCTTGGTTTCAACAGACCAGAGAATCTTGTTTCTCATAGCCTGAGAGTCCTTAGGGTGCCTTTTGGCAAACTCCAAGCGGGCTGTCATGTGCCTTTTACTGACGAGTGGCTTCCGTCTGGCCACTCTACCATAAGGGCCTGATTGGTGGAGTGCTGCAGAGATGGTTGTCCTTCTGGAAGGTTCTCCCATCTCCACAGAGGAACTCTGGAGCTCTGTTAGAGTGACCATCGGGTTCTTGGTCACCTCCCTGACCAAGGCCCTTCTCCCCCGATTGCTCAGTTTGGCCAGCTCTAGGAAGAGTCTTGATGTTCCAAACTTCTTCCATACCACTGCATTCTTGGGGACCTTCAACGCTGCAGAAATGTTTTGCTACCCTTCCCCAGATCTGTGCCTCGACACAATCCTGTCTCAGAGCGCTACGGATAATTCCTTCGACCTCATGGCTTGGTTTTTGCTCTGACATGCACTGTCAACTGTGGGACCTTATATAGACAGGTGTGTGACTTTCCAAATCATGTCCAATCAATTGAATTTACCACAGATGGACTCCAATCAAGTTGTAGAAATGTCTCAAGGATGATCAATGGAAACAGGATGTACCTGAACTCAATTTCGAGTCTCATAGCAAAGGGTCTGAATACTTATGTAAATAAGTAAAACATTATAAAAACCTGTTTTCGCTTTGTCATTATAGGGTAGTGTGTAGATTAATGAGGAACGTTTTTTATTTAATCCATTTTAGAATAAGGCTGTAACGTAACAAAATGTGGAAAAAGGGAAGGGGTCTGAATACTTTCTGTATGACTATATATATATATGTCTGCTTTCAATTTGAGGGATAAACAGCTATAATCACTATCACATATTAATCATTACATGTCATCCTCACTTTGATCCTACAAAACAGTTTCTTTCACCAAACCAATAATCAATTTGTCTCATAGAGTCATTACTCCTCACTACATTGCAAGTGTCCATCGTAAAGTAATGTAAGGTCATCGGCCCAGTGCAGTCAAAATTAAGTTTATCCTGTGTTTTGTATCATATTGTACAACAGCTGATGAAACTAACACTGTAAAACTGTGAACAATTTTAGTGTTATTTCCTGATAGTTGCTGGTTGAAAATACAATCTACACGGGACCTTCTAATCAGCCTGTTTGCATGGGCGGTAGTTTCAGCTTGCCTGGTGTCATCAAATTCTTGGTTGAGAAATAGTTTTTTTGCTAAAAAGCTATTTTTTGTCAATTTAATTGTTACCAAGAAATGATATGATATTGTGATAATAAAAACGACTGCATTGGGCCTTTAAAGTGTGTACACAATAAATCAATATGTATATTCTGCTAAATCCATGAGCTGCTATGTCAATTAGGGTATTGTTGGCAGTGTGCTTCACGCACGATAGCCTTAATTTCTCAGGCTGTGACACCCACTGATTTATATGCTGTCAGACTAAATTAGTCCATTAGCTGGGGGATGCCATTAATCGTTGGATCAGTCCAATATGACAACATCACAGGTAATTGCAGATTATCTCACTAAGACACACATCTGGAAGCAATAGGAGAACGTACTGCACGCCTGACATGGATGCGCAATGATTTTCTCTTGAAGCCTTGGCCTACCTCAGCGAGGCAAATGAATAGTGAGAGGAGTATCTATCCATGTGGATGCTGACAAATTATCTTTCACATTATCTGAGATCTCTGTGAAATGAAGCCCCTTATGATAAGAACATGTTGTAACACGTTGTTGCATGTCTTGATGTCTATACCTTCATCATAACCATTTCCATATGTACTATAATAGTGACGGTCCCTCACTGGATATTCTATAGTGCCTGACTACAGTCGGAACATATCAGATTTTAAACGTGCTAAATAATGAAGGTCACAACAAAAATCCTCAGGTAGCCAAGGTAATTCACCATCTAATCATTACAAGGTCTGTGTATAAGCAGGTAATAAGGCACAAACATCATGCTTGAATTGTGCATTTGGTTGTACAGTGTGTGAGGGTGATCTTCATTCCATACCGTGGGTCAGGGATGCACACACACACACACACACACGTCTACAATTTCCCATGTGACAGTGGAATGCTAAAAATGCAAGCTGTGTGTTTTACTGTGGTATCATTGCTGCTAGCAGAAAACAGAGGCATCCTAGGGGAGCAGAATTAGTGTGGTATGAGTGACATCCAGAACCACTGAGAAGGCAAAGGAGCACACCTGCCAAACTCTCTCATTGGTCAGATCAGTCAAATGTAATTACAACTGTATTTATATAGAACCAAATTAAACATCAATGTTGTTATAGTATATTATCTTTGATTAAAATCTTGAGATGTTTTTCAATGACTTCAGAGAGAGCAATGGCAGAATAGAGCTCTTTGTGTTACAGACTCTTCATGTCACCATTCAATCTGGATTCAATCTAACCATCAAAGCTAGCATTTGGCATTGAAACCAAATGCACACATGCCAATTTTTATCCTCAACATTGTGTTAATTCCAAGATGTCACACAATTTTTATATTTCAAACTATTAAATGTTGCATTGTTCTGTTAGACACACCAGTGTTAAGGATAAGTGCAACCAACAGCTGTTAGGTTGAATCCAGGCCTTCATGTTCTAAAGGTGAAAGGCCAATAACACAACATCACATCACACTGTAAGAAAGCATGGAGTCAGGCTGGCTTTGATGCAATTCAGTTTACCTCAGGAGGTTCTCCTTCGTGCTATTGGTGGGCTACATCTACACACCACAAACATAAATACATACAGGAGATCAGCCACTATGTAGTCCAGGAATAACATATTGTACACAGAAAAGCAAGAAAATAAACGTTTCACACAGTCCTGCTAATAAAAATAGAGGAAAAAGGAAAAAGTGTCCAGAGTTAAGTAAAGTATCCTTCTTTTCATAACTACAAAAAGTAAACTTTTGTATGAATGAAATGTGGGTCAATGAAAAAGACCAACTGAAAGTAGACAAACAGCTGTGTGTGGCTCAATATTAGACCCTCTCATTGTGTCTTACCTGCATTCCTGCTGCGCTTTGCAAAGGGGTTTAGAGTTGCTTTGGCCTTGGAAGTCCAGTTTGCTGTACTGGAGCCAAAAGAGCTGGAGGACAGGGACTTCCTCACGGTGTCTGAGCTGGCCTTTTTGGTGTTGTTAGTGGCTGTCTTGCTCCAGTCTGCCATTCAACAAGACACATTTCACACATGCTTATTTGGGAAAAATTCATATAAAGAGTGAAGTTACTTTTTGTTAGGCCAGGGTTAGGGTTTTATGGAGTTTCTGTGTATTTGATTGCCTATAAAGCTAAGACTTCTCAGGTTTTATAACCACTGTTCTTTGTTACTTTGGAAATCTGGAGTCTACAGGGAACTTTTACTGGACTCCTGTGCAGCTAACTAGAAATGAGTTTAATTTCAACAGGAATTCTATTAACATTGGACAATATTAAATATAAAAAAAGATTATTATCTTATAATCTTTATCACATAATCACATCTGACTTTTATTAGCAATGTGCAAGTACAGTAATTTCCCCCCTCTCATTCTAAAGCCTGATATGATGGTAGTATGATAACGGTTCTGAATATCAGGCTAGATATTTTACCTGAGAGTAAGAGGAGTCTATTTGTTGTCTGTTTCTTGTCAGATCTTTACCTGAGTTGTCTGACAGGCGGAATTTGCCACAACACAAGTATCTCCTCCACTGTTTCTGGACATTCTCCTTCAGTGCACAGTGGAATATGAAGATGAATAAACCTGTTGGCCAGAGATGAACAATAGAGGAAAAAGCTGTTAAATAACAATGAAGATGACAGAGATGACGAACAAAAGAGAGCTTGGGTTGGTTTGGCTTTCAGCTAGCAGATGTCGTACCAAGGAGCCCTCTGGTGGAACAAATAGTACATGACATGACAGTGAAGCAATGACTTATTATTCTTCACATATAATACAATACAGAACTGCTTTGTACAAGAGTTAAAAAAGACACACCTTTTATCAAAACATTCAATTATCCTTAATTAGTAATCAACACTACTGTGTACTATATTTAGGGTGCACAGCACACCATAGGGAGGCCCTGTACCCTGCAGTGAGTTGAAGATGGAGAAGAGGTACATGAAGGCCAGGTTGACGGGTCCCCAGGCGAAGAAGGCGAAGCCCCAGGTCATGCCCAGGAGGAAGGTGAGACTGATGACGCTCCTCAGGTTCCTCAGCATCTCCTCACGCAGTGTGTGGTTGCTACGCTTCCCGTTACGACCGCAGATCTGGATCATAACCACGATGAACATGGCCACGTTCAGGAGGAAGATGACAGAGAAGTAGCCCACACACGTCACATAGAACACCACCTGGCTCTGGCTCTGGATCCAACAGCTGGGAGGAGGAGAGGTGGAGGGGGGGCATTAGTAATATTGGTTGCCATAGGTTAACTTAAATGTTTTAGCTGGAAGGCTGGATCTATATAACATACTGTATACATACATTAGTCCTGGTCCTATGACTGCAATATGGGAAAACACACACTTGGATTACTCAACTCTAATACTCCATCTACATACCTTATGTTTTCTATCCTATCTCTTGAACTTGATGCAGGACTTACAATTCAGAAGAGCCTTGTCCAGTCTTCCCCTTTCCATACTCAATTTTCCCATAGGAGTTTTTGTCAAAAGCTACCACTATGGCCACTATCACAGCAGGCAGACCTGGAAGTGAGACATGGGGATAACAATTCAGGTACACCACGATCCAAACTAAGTTTAAAATTCAGTGTATAGCGTAAATAATTCATGCTCCTATGCATTTCAATAGGAAGTAAGAATATGACACATTCAGCATACTGTATAACAATTAGTTTATCCAACTTTAGAGGCACTTACCCCAGCCGACGATGCAGAACTTGAGGATGTACCTCCGAATGTAGGTGTTGAAGACTTTGACCAGGGCGATGTACATGTGTATGGACTCGAGGCCCATCCAGGTGAAGGACGTGAGCAGGAAGAAGTGGAGGAAGACGGCCACGGCTACACACAGGCCCTCCACATTGAAGGAAGCCAGCCAGCCATCCAATAGGAACACCATGTTGAGGAACAGCAGCGATGTGCTCAGGTTCATCAGGATCTTAGAGGGGTAGTCACGACGTAACTTCCTGTACAGGACAGACACTGAATAACACTGTGACGACTACAATTCTGGTTGTCTTATAATATCATGGCCAATGACTAGGACCAAGAGTCCAGGTGACGTAGATTCAGAAGACTAGTTATAGGAGTATTTCCTGGTCACATGTAATATGGATGGAAACACACTCACTCAAAGGCAATATAAGTCAAAAGCGTTGCAGCAGAAAAGATGGCCGATATGCCACATCCGATGTAGGTGATGAAAGTGAGAATCTTGGTGTTTTTCTCATCAATCTGTAAAGCGGATCCAGAGATATCCTTCACAGAGAAGACAGAAAATCTTAGACACACTAGCCCATTTACTCTATACAAGGAAACACAACTTTTTTAAATTATTCAGAGTTACATTTACATGAGGGAAGAGCCTCTAATTGGGTTATTTTGAACACGAGTCTTACCATTAGGATGCCAAAGTGTGTGAGATGGTCACAGAGGCAGATAGTCTTGTTTCCATTGGACATAGGACTAACCCTGCAGCCTTCACGATTCCAGCCACCTGAACCATCTTGTGTAGACAAAGATACAGTATATTCTACAATTGTATTTGGAGCCATATCTTTTCTTTAAAATAAATCAAAAATATTTTATTCAGACTTACTTTTCATTGTGAAATCCCAGAACATGCAGGTTGGCTTTAGCTTTGGCTGAAAGACACCGACACACTCTATCACTGTCTGACTACAGGCAGACGTTCCAGGTGGCAATTTGTATTGTACTTAGGCCTTCTATTTTAACTGGGAAGTACCATCAGGAATAAAATATTATCAACTGGGTGGTAACATATTTTTTTTTTTTTACCTACAGTTGAAGTCGGAAGTTTACATACACCTTAGCCAAATACATTAAAACTCAGTTTTTCACAATTCCTGACATTTAATCCTAGTAAAAATTCCCTGTCTTAGGTCAGTTAGGAACACCACTGTATTTTAAGAATGTGAAATGTCAGAATAATAGTAGAGAGAATGATTTATTTCAGCATCACATTCCCAGTGGGTCAGAAGTTTACATACACTCAATTAGTATTTGGTAGCATTGCCTTTAAATTGTTTAACTTGTGTTAAACGTTTCGGGTAGCCTTCCACAAGCTTCCCACAATAAGTTGGGTGAATTTTGGCCCATTCCTCCTGACAGAGCTGGTGTAACTGAGTCAGGTTTGTAGGCCTCCTTGCTTGCACACGCTTTTTCAGTTCTGCCCACACATTTTCTATAGGATTGAGGTCAGGCCTTTGTGATGGCCACTCCAATACCTTGACTTTGTTGTCCTTAAGCAAAGCACCCCCACAGCATGATGCTGCCACCCCCGTGCTTCACGGTTGGGATAGTGTTCTTCGGCTTGCAAGGCACCCCCTTTTTCCTCCAAACATAATGATGGTCATTATGGCCAAACAGTTATATTTTTGTTTCATCAGACCAGAGGACATTTCTCCAAAAAGTACGATCTTTGTCCCCATGTGCAGTTGCAAACCGTAGTCTGGCTTTTTTATGGCGGTTTTGGAGCAGTGGCTTCTTCCTTGCTGAGCGGCCTTTCAGGTTATGTCGATATAGGACTCGTTTTACTGTGGATATAGATATTTTGTACCTGTTTCCTCCAGCATCTGCACAAGGTCCTTTGCTGTTGTTCTGGGATTGATTCGCACCAAAGTACGTTCATCTCTAGGAGACAGAACGCATCTCCTTCCTGAGTGGTATGACGGCTGCGTGGTCCGTCCCATGGTGTTTATAGTTGCGTACTATTGTTTGTAGAGATGAACGTGGTACCTTCAGGCGTTCGTAAATTGCTCCCAAGGATGAACCAGACTTTTTTTTCTGAGGTCTTGGCTGATTTCTTTTGATTTTCCCATGATGTCAAGCAAAGAGGCACTGAGTTTGAAGGTAGGCCTTGAAATACATCCACAGGTACACCTCCAATTGACTCAAATGATGTCAATTAGCCTATCAGAAGCTTCTAAAGCCATGACATAATTTCCTGGAATTTTACAAGCTGTTTAAAGGCACAGTCAATTTAGTGTATGTAAACTTCTGACCCACTGGAATTGTGATACAGTGAATTATAAGTGAAATAATCTGTCTTTAAACAATTGTTGGAAACATGACTTGTGTCATGCACAAAGTAGACTTGCCAAAACTATAGTTTGTTAACAAGAAATGTGTGGAGTGGTTTAAAAACAAGTTTTAATGACTCCAACCTAAGAGGAGAGGAGAGGAGAGGAGAGGAGGGGAGAAGTGAGGAGAGCAGAGGTGAGTAGAGGTGAGGAGAGGTGAGGAGAGGAGAGCGGGTAGACTACCTGGTAGTTCAGGTGTACTATCTCGATCTCCACGGGGTCGTGCAGGTTACTGATGGAGTAATTGCCCACACTGCTGGCCACAACATAGCTGTTAAGAGACAGCCCGTCCTGTTTATCCTGAGAATGATCAAAGAAAAGTTTCATTTTGAAATATAAAAACATGGCCCTCAAATCTATAAATTCACATACCAGGCATACGAATCACCATGCATTAGTAAGAAGCAAGAAAATAAATTACAACACACTGAACAGACACACCAAATTTGTTAAATTCCATCAAAAAGAGCTATAAACCTGGAAATGTCACTCATAACTATAGATTTACATACCAGACATATGAGTCACCATCCATGAAAAGGATGCGTGAGAAAAGAAAACATACTGTTACATGCTGAAAGGACACACTAAATCAGATACAGTACAGTCAAAAGTTTGGACACACCTACTCATTCAAGGGTTTTTCTTTATTTTTACTATTTTAGATGTTAGATTCTTCAAAGTAGCCATCCTTTGCCTTGATGACAGCTTTGCACACTCTTGGCATTCTCTCAACCAGCTTCACCTGGAATGCTTTTCCAACAGTCTTGAAGGAGTTCCCACATATGCTGAGCACTTGTTGGATGCTTTTTCTTCACTCTGCGGTCCAACTCATCCCAAACCATCTCAATTGGGTTGAGGTTGGGTGATTGTGGAGGCCAGGTCATCTGATGCAGCACTCCATCACTCTCCTTCTTGGTCAAATAGCCTTACATTTACATTTTTACATTTTAGTCATTTAGCAGACGCTCTTATCCAGAGCGACTTACAGTTAGTGAGTGCATACACTTTCATACTGGCCCCCCGTGGGAAACGAACCCACAACCCTGGCATTGCAAGCGCCATGTTCTACCAACTGAGCTACAGGGGACTACTTTACACAGCCTGGAGGTGTGTTGGGTCATTATCCTGTTGAAAAACAAATGATAGTCCCACTAAGCGCAAACCAGATGGGATGGTGTATCGCTGCTGAATGCTGTGGTAGTCATGCTGGTTAACTGTACCTTGAATTCTAAATAAATCACAGACAGTGTCACCAGCAAAGCACCCCCACACCATCACACCTCCTCCTCCATGCTTCACGTTGGGAACCACACATGCGGAGCTCATACGTTCACCTACTCTGTGTCTCACAAAGACACGGCGGTTGGAACCAAAAATCTCACATTTGGACTCATCAGACCAAAGGACAGATTTCCACCGGTCTAATTTCCATTGCTCGTGTTTCTTGGCCCAAGCAAGTCTCTTCTTTTTATTGGTGTCCTTTAGTAGTTGTTTCTTTGCAGCAATTCGACCATGAAGGCCTGATTCACGCAGTCCCCTCTGAACAGTTGATGTTGAGATGTGTCTGTTACTTGACCTCTGTTTAAGCATTTATTTGGGGTGCAATTTCTGAGGCTGGTAACTCTAATGAACTTATCCTCTGCAGCAGAGGTAACTCTGGGTCTTCCTTTCCTGTGGCGGTCCTCATGAGAGCCAGTTTCATCATAGTGCTTGATGGTTTTTGCGACTGCACTTGAAACTTTCAAAGTTCTTGAAATTTTCCGGATTGACTGACCTTCATGTCTTAAAGTAATGATGAACTGTCGTTTCTCTTTGCTTATTTGAGCTGTTCTTGCCATAATATGGACTTGGTCTTTTACCAAATAGGGCTGTCTTATGTCTATCCCCTACCTTGTCACAACACAACTGATTGGCTCAAACGCATTAAGAAGGAAAGAAATTACACAAATTAACTCTGAACAAGGCACACCTGTTAATTGAAATGCATTCCAGGTGACTACCTCATGAAGCTGGTTGAGAGAATGCCAAGAGTGTGCAAAGCTGTCATCAAGTCAAAGGGTGGCTATTTTGAAGAATCTCAAAAATAAAATATATTTTGATTTGTTTAACACTTTTCTGGTTACTACATGATTCCATATGTGTTTTTTCATAATTTTGATGTCTTCACTATTATTCTACAATGTAGAAAATAGTCCAAATAAAGAAAAACCCTGGAATGAGTAGGTGTGTCCAGACTTTTGACTGGTACTGTACATTCCATCTAAAAGAGGTATAAACCTGGAATAGTCCTGTTTTGCGGAAGAACATGAAGTTGATCCTGGAGACAGCAGCGATCTCAGCATCGGTCAGGGTCAGGTTTTTGAGCAGAGTAGCTGGCAGTGTGACCTGAGCCAGGGGGTTCAGCTGATCCGACGTAAAGGCAATCTGGTGGGAGAGAAGCTTGTTACCATAAACAATCCTATGTGACAGTATTTGATTTGCCTGCTGACTATTATGCTGATTATATAACGAGTTCCCTGCTGTACCATCTGGAGGTCATTTCCAAACCTCTGGTGTCCCCGTGCCTTGACATGCCACCACACGTGCCTTGTCACATCCTCTACATGATCCACAACATGTGGTGGAGTATGATTAAAGTGTGCCCTTTCTGCTGGCACAGCATTGGCACAGCACTAGCACAGCATTAGCATAGCATTGGCATATCATTGGCATAGCATTGGCATAGCATTGGCACAGCATTGACACAGTATTAGCACGTAAAGGAAAGGCATAGGGTAAAATACATGAACCAAAGTGACAACACAGGAAATCAAGAGAGAGAGGGAAGGCTGTGGTGGACTCAGCTTGCATGTTAGTCAGCTGAATCATGTTTGCTTAACTCTATGATCCTTGCATAATTATGAATAACAGGACTCCATTTGCATCACAAGGTTGTGAAGGTGTTGTGGGTACAGAAAATACTCTTAATGACTTAAACAAATATACATCCTGCCATTTATGTTAAATTGACTTAACAGGTCTGATGGGTTATGAGTCACCTTTAACACAGAACAAGAGTTTCCACAGGAAGGCTTTCCTGGAAGCCCCGGCTGGCTGGTTGACTGGTTGACTGGCTGACTGGTTGACTAGCTGACTGGTTAACTGGCTGACTGGTTGACTGGCTGACTGGTTGACTGGCTGACTGGTTGACTGGCTGACTGGTTGACTGGCTGGTTGACTGGCTGACTGGTTGACTGGCTAACTGGCTGACTGGTTGACTGCCTGACTGGTTGACTGCCTGACTGGCTGACTGGCACACACACACAGTAGGAGTAGTGATGGGGCATAACATCCCCTATTTACTCTCAGGGCACATTGACTGTGAATGAAACAACAACCGGCAGGTATGGATGTTATGAGCTTTGTGCACAGCAGAGCAAGGAGTCCCTGGATATAAAGTACTACACTGCCCAGTACAGTACAGTGCAGCAGATAATACTGATGTCTCTATAACTCTTGTGTATAACACTGACCCTAACTGTTTAGTGAGTACCTGGAGGTCTGTGGTGTTGGGGTGTATGAAGGCACTGAAGGAGGTCCCATTGAACTTGCTGTAGTTGAGGGCTGAAATTCCCAGTGCCAGATTTGTTGAGGTTATGTTCTCTGTAGGCCCATCAAATTCTATCTTCTGAACCAGTTCATCCACCATCTTCAATGTCCTACACACAGATAGAGAGACATTTAGGGGTTATAATAATAATGGACTGGGCAGTGACTTTCACTAGAGTCTCACAGTGCTTTGGTAGTTTGGTTGCTACAAAGAGACCACACAAAGACACCATACAGTACATCTACCTGGGACATATAGTCATCACTCATGTATGTGTCACTCCCAGCATGCTGGACACACAGTAAGAGGTGGGTTCTGAGGAGAGGAAAGACAGTGGCAATGGGAGCAGTGAGGAGTATCTTACGTCTCTGAGGCTTCAGCCAGGGCTGATACGGAGCTGGTCATCACGTTAGAGATGATGCTAACTACAGTTTTGGCCAGAGGGGTGTTGATCTTGGCCACGTTGACCAGCTCCCTAACCTTTCCCACCACCTTGAACACCTCGTCTGTGGAGAGCTTGTTGTTGGTGATGTCATCAAGCTGGACAGCGACTTCGGCAGCATTCTCTGTTTGGAGAAAGTTAGAACAGAGACAGATAAACAACTAGATGAGAGCTCTCCTTGGGCTGTCAATAGACACTTATTATCAGTTGCCTGCTGACTGCCCACTCTCTGCCATGGTGAGGGTGTTTACACACGTTGTATCTCTAAAATTGCATCTATGTGGGCATCTCTGTCCTTCTATGTCTCTAAGAGCAGCGTGTTGAGATCAAACACATCTCAAGTATTCATTCGGGCAGATGTTTTGATTTTATCTGCTGTGGAGTCAATAAAGTGATTTAAGAGAGTGTGAAGATGTCTGAGGCCTACCTGCTGACACTTTGATGGAATTGATATCAATGCAATTACTGAGGTCTGGGGCGCCCCAAAGCGCTGTGTAATTCAGGGGGCTGATCACACTGGGGACAAACAAACACACAAAAGGAGATCTGGTATTTTGAGGCAAGATACAGTGAGGGAAAAATTTATTTGATCCCCTGCTGATTTTGTACGTTTGCCCACTGACAAAGAAATGATCAGTCTATACTTTTAATGGTAGGTTTATTTGAACAGTGAGAAACAGAATAACAACAAAAAAATCCAGAAAAACACGTTAAAAATGTTATGAATTGATTTACATTTTAAATGAGGGAAATAAGTATTTGACCCCTCTGCAAAACATGACTTAGTACTTGGTGGCAAAACCCTTGTTGGCAATCACAGAGGTCAGACGTTTCTAGTAGTTGGCCACCAGGTTTGCACACATTTCAGGAGGGATTTTGTTCCACTCGTCTTTGCAGATCTTCTCCAAGTCATTAAGGTTTCGAGTCTGACTTTTGGCAACTCGAACCTTCAGCTCCCTCCACAGATTTTCTATGGGATTAAGGTCTGGAGACTGGCTAGGCCACTCCAGGACCTTAATGTGCTTCTTCTTGAGCCACTCCTTTGTTGCCTTGGCCGTGTGTTTTGGGTCATTGTCATGCTGGAATACCCATCCACGACCCATTTTCAATGCCCTGGCTGAGGGAAGGAGGTTCTCACCCAAGATTTGACGGTACATGGCCCTGTCCATCGTCCCTTTGATGCAGTGAAGTTGTCCTGTCCCCTTAGCAGAAAAACACCCCCAAAGCATAATGTTTCCACCTCCATGTTTGACGGTGGGGATGGTGTTCTTGGGGTCATAGGCAGCATTCCTCCTCCTCCAAACACGGCGAGTTGAGTTGATGCCAAAGAGCTCCATTTTGGTCTCATCTGACCACAACACTTTCACCCAGTTCTCCGCTGAATCATTCAGATGTTCATTGGCAAACTTCAGACGGGCATGTACAGTGGGGAGAACAAGTATTTGATACACTGCCGATTTTGTACGTTTTCCTACTTACAAAGCATGTAGAGGTCTGTCATTTTTATCATAGGTACACTTCAACTGTGATAGACGGAATCTAGAAAAATCACATTGTATGATTTTTAAAAATCCAGAAAATCACATTGTATGATTTTTAAGTAATTAATTTGCATTTTATTGCATGACATAAGTATTTGATACATCAGAAAAGCAGAACTTAATATTTGGTACAGAAACCTTTGTTTGCAATTACAGAGTTTCCTGTAGGTCTTGACCAGGTTTGCACACACTGCAGCAGGGATTTTGGCCCACTCCTCCATACAGACCTTCTCCAGATCCTTCAGGTTTCAGGGCTGTCACTGGGCAATACGGACTTTCAGCTCCCTCCAAAGATTTTCTATTGGGTTCAGGTCTGGAGACTCGCTAGGCCACTCCAGGACCTTGAGATGCATCTTACGGAGCCACTCCTTAGTTGCCCTGGCTGTGTGTTTCGGGTCGTTGTCATGCTGGAAGACCCAGCCACGACCCATCTGCAATGCTCTTACTGAGGGAAGGAGGTTGTTGGCCAAGATCTCGCGATACATGGCCCGATCCATCCTTCCCTCAATACGGTGCAGTTGTCCTGTCCCCTTTGCAGAAAAGCATCCCCAAAGAATGATGTTTCCACCTCCATGCTTCACGGTTGGGATGGTGTTCTCGGGGTTGTACTCATCCTTCTTCTTCCTCCAAACACGGCGAGTGGAGTTTAGACCAAAAAGCTCTATTTTTGTCTCATCAGACCACATGACCTTCTCCCATTCCTCCTCTGGATCATCCAGATGGTCATTGGCAAACTTCAGATGGGCCTGGACATGCGCTGGCTTGAGCAGGGGGACTTGCGTGCGCTGCAGGATTTTAATCCATGATGGCATAGTGTGTTACTAATAGTTTTCTTTGAGACTGTGGTCCCAGCTCTCTTCAGGTCATTGACCAGGTCCTGCCGTGTAGTTCTGGGCTGATCCCTCACCTTCATCATGGTCATTGATGCCCCACGAAGTGAGATCTTGCATGGAGCCCCAGACCGAGGGTGATTGACGGTCATCTTGAACTTCTTCCATTTTCTAATAATTGCGCCAACAGTTGTTGCCTTCTCACCAAGCTGCTTGCCTATTGTCCTGTAGCCCATCCCAGCCTTGTGCAGGTCTACATTTGTATCCCTGATGTCCTTACACAGCTCTCTGGTCTTGGCCATTGTGGAGAGGTTGGAGTCTGTTTGATTGAGTGTGTGGACAGGTGTCTTTTATACAGGTAACGAGTTCAAACAGGTGCAGTTAATACAGGTAATGGGTAGAGAACAGGAGGGCTTCTTAAAGAAAAACTAACAGGTCTGTGAGAGCCGGAATTCTTACTGGTTGGTAGGTGATCAAATACTTATGTTATGCAATAAAATGCAAATTAATTACTAAAAAATCATACAATGTGATTTTCTGGATTGTTGTTTTAGATTCCGTCTCTCACAGTTGAAGTGTACCTATGATAAAAATTACAGATCTCTATATGCTTTGTAAGTAGGAAAACCTGCAAAATCGTCAGTGTATCAAATACTTGTTCTCCCCACTGTATATGTGCTTTCTTGAGCAGGGGGACCTTGCGGGCGCTACAGGATTTCAGTCCTTCACGGCGTAGTATGTTACCAATTGTTTTCTTGGTGACTATGGTCCCAGCTGCCTTGAGATCATTGACAAGATCCTCCCGTGTAGTTCTGGGCTGATTCCTCACCGTTCTCATGATCATTGCAACTCCACGAGGTGAGATCTTGCATGGAGCCCCAGGCCGAGGGAGATTGACAGTTATTTTGTGTTTCTTCCATTTGCACCAACTGTTGTCACCTTCTCACCAAGCTGCTTGGCGATGGTCTTGTAGCCCATTCCAGCCTTGTGTAGGTCTACAATCTTGTCCCTGACATCCTTGGAGAGCTCTTTGGTCTTGGCAATGGTGGAGAGTTTGGAATCTGATTGATTGATTGCTTCTGTGGACAGGTTCTTTTATACAGGTAACAAGCTGAGATTGGGAGCACTCCCTTTAAGAGTGTGCTCCTAATCTCAGCTCGTTATCTGTATAAAAGACACCTGGGAGCCAGAAATCTTTCTGATTGAGAAGGGGTCAAATACTTATTTCCCTCATTAAAATGCAAATCAATTTATAACATTTTTAACATGCGTTTTTCTGGATTTTGTTGTTGTTATTCTGTCTCTCACTGTTCAAATAAACCTACCATTAAAATTATAGACTGATCATTTATTTGTCAGTGGGCAAACGTACAAAATCAGCAGGGGATCAAATACTTTTTTCCCTCACTGTAAATTACCTCAACAAATTCATGCGTACATTATCAGAATATCAGTAATGTCAAGTTCTTAGATATTTTAAAAGCAGACTGAATCCCATTGATATCCCTGGAAAATAGTGTTGTAATATTCCTGAAAATGAAAATGAATTTTCTGATTGTTTGTATAAAGATAGGACATAGTTTGATATAGTGAATGTGTCAGTCTCACCATGTTCTGGATGCGTTCTGGTCTTTGTTGAGGAAACAGGGGACATACTGAGTGACAGTTGGTCTGCTCTCTGGCCAGATGTAATGGAGGGGAGTTTCCCCCGTGCAGTTCTCTGAATGACAGAGAAAACCATGCAGCAGAACATTTTTTACACTGCACACTACAATATATTAAGATCCAATGACTACAAGAATAAGTTCAGAAACCTTCGAGGAATTCACATTTCAAACCTAATCTAATTAGGAGGTGCTTTAGAGTCGATGTGTGACTGTGCACTGTGAAATTGGGTTCATTCTCTGGGCTGTGTGAGGGTCATGTTTTTGTGATCTTGGCGAGGATCGCTGCCCCAGTCACTTCCTGCAGTAAGAAGGGAGGCATTGAAGTGATTTAAACGGGTCTGGTTGAGATCATGTCCTACCGACAGACTGCACGGCGACAGTGTTTAGCTCCAGTCCGTTGCCGATGCTGGCGCCGCTTCTGCCCATCCTGGTGGAGATGGCAGCTTCTCCAAGGGTCAGGTTGGTGGTGGTCTTGTAGACCAGCAGGGCCAGGCAGGTATATCTGGAGGGGGGAGAAGGAAGAGGGAAGAAGAGTAGCAGGATACTTCATTCACATGGAAAGGCAGACCTAGTGAATTACCATTCTTCTTTTATGATTACGGTTGACTTGTAAGGGCCCAGAGTTTTCCCTAGTCACGTGACGTGGTCAGGAACAACTCCCTACCTACTACAGTATACCATATTAAATATTGTCCTCACCTTTTACTGACACTCCTCTCTAGCTGTAAGTCACTGTTAGGCTGGATACTGGGAACGAGATGAAAGGGAAATGGAGGGGGATCATCATTATTGACCTGTAATACAGTTCTAAAGAACTATAAATAGAATGGACATGGAGCTGCATTTTATGATGGTACAAAGATCTAATTGCTTACCTGACATTAGCGACATAGACCGCGTGTGTCCAGTTTTGGAATGTTTGATTGAGCTGTAAATGAACAAGTAAATCAGTCAAGTTCTCACCTAGCTACAGTGGGGAGAACAAGTATTTGATACACTGCCGATTTTGCAGGTTTTCCTACTTACAAAGCATGTAGAGGACTGTAATTTTTATCATAGGTACACTTCAACTGTGAGAGACAGAATCTAAAACAAAAATCCAGAAAATCACATTGTATGATTTTTAAGTAATTCATTTGCATTTTATTGCATGACATAAGTATTTGATCACCTACCAACCAGTAAGAATTCCGGCTCTCACAGACCTGTTAGTTTTTCTTTAAGAAGCCCTCCTGTTCTCCACTCATTACCTGTATTAACTGCACCTGTTTGAACTCGTTACCTGTATAAAAGACACCTGTCCACACACTCAATCAAACAGACTCCAACCTCTCCACAATGGCCAAGACCAGAGAGCTGTGTAAGGACATCAGGGATAAAATTGTAGACCTGCACAAGGCTGGGATGGGCTACAGGACAATAGGCAAGCAGCTTGGTGAGAAGGCAACAACTGTTGGCGCAATTATTAGAAGATGGAAGAAGTTCAAGATGACCGTCAATCACCCTCGGTCTGGGGCTCCATGCCAGATCTCACCTCGTGGGGCATCAATGATCATGAGGAAGGTGAGGGATCAGCCCAGAACTACACGGCAGGACCTGGTCAATGACCTGAAGAGAGCTGGGACCACAGTCTCAAAGAAAACCATTAGTAACACACTACGCCGTCATGGATTAAAATCCTGCAGTGCAAGCAAGGTCCCCCTGTTCAAGCCAGCGCATGTCCAGGCCCGTCTGAAGTTTGCCAATGACCATCTGGATGATCCAGAGGAGGAATGGGAGAAGGTCATGTGGTCTGATGAGACAAAAATAGAGCTTTTTGGTCTAAACTCCACTCGCCGTGTTTGGAGGAAGAAGAAGGATGAGTACAACCCCAAGAACACCATCAGAACCGTGAACCATGGAGGTGGAAACATCATTCTTTGGGGAGGTCCTGGAGTGGCCTAGCCAGTCTTCAGACCTGAACCCAATAGACAATCTTTGGAGGGAGCTGAAAGTCCGTATTGCCCAGCGACAGCCCCGAAACCTGAAGGATCTGGAGAAGGTCTGTATGGAGGAGTGGGCCAAAATCCCTGCTGCAGTGTGTGCAAACCTGGTCAAGACCTACAGGAAACGTATGATCTCTGTAATTGCAAACAAAGGTTTCTGTACCAAATATTAAAAAAGTTCTGCTTTTTTGATGTATCAAATACTTATGTCATGCAATAACATGCAAATTAATTACTTAAAAATCATACAATGTGATTTTCTGGATTTTTGTTTTAGATTCCGTCTCTCACAATTGAAGTGTACCTATGATAAAAATTACAGACCTCTACATGCTTTGTAAGTAGGAAAACCTGCAAAATCGGCAGTGTATCAAATACTTGTTCTCCCCACTGTATCTTAAGATGAATGCACTAATTGTATGTCGCTCTGGATAAGAGCGTCTGCTAAATGACTAAAATATAAATGTCATTCATTCAATTCATCTTGTATTCTATTGATGATTTGATACAAGATAAATTTAACATGACCAGAAGCCTTACCCATTGTGCAACAGTTTTCTCAACATCAGACTCTGTTACTTGGGCCTCCTTGTCATTGACAAGAAAGGAGATCCTGTAGAAAAGACCCTCTGGAATTGAAAAGAAAACACATCGATCTATATTTGACGTAGTTAATTTACAACATTCAATGGAACAGTGCAGGAGTGCAGGGGTTGTGACATAATTGAGTTATGTAAAATGCAATTTCATAGGACAAATGATGTTGACAGGCTGCTACTCCACGGATAAGAAATGTGGGTGGGGGGGGGGGGGGGGGGGGGGTTCATAAGGAACAGGCTAAATGAAAATACTTTGTTATCATCCTAGATGACAGTAATCAAAATATAACTAATAGATATAGTACATGTCATTATATGACTGATCTGTATTCAGTGGCCAAATTGTTGATTGTAAATGAGAGCATGTACCGTGTACTACATTACTTTGTTTGACAGTGTTGGTGATCTGCTGCTATGCCTCACAGCCATTACAAGATGGCTCCCAATCCTCTCCTGTTGTTAGTGCTGATCTAGATACAGTACAATGCTGTTTCTACTCCATATCAAAACCTTTCTTAGGAGACTCCAGTAATTGCAGATTCAGGTGGTAGGCCACCTCAGAAAGTTCTGAAGTACCCAAACGATATATATATATATTTTTATCTTTGTTGATCAAGAGTGTTCTTTTTTCTTATATTTTCTATCGTAGAGCAATAACAGATTACATTTAGAGGAGCAGTTCTTTGCTCTAAAATCAAATGATAACAGCATTGGATGTCTCCCAAGAAACATGTATGATTGAAATCTTGAAATCACCAGATGAGAGCTGAGCCCCATGAGGGATGGTCAAAGCTGCCCCATCAGCAGAGCAGAGGCCATTCTAGAGTTCAGTGATTGGTCACCTACAGTACACTCCAATGTTAATGTTCTACGCCCCGTACAAAATCACAACACAACCGCAATCATCAACCACCTCCAACAGGACGCCTGATTTTCACCAGTTTTGGTTTTCCTCTATCAGCCTCATCACACCACTACTACAATAGCATTCAAAGCAGAGATTCAGCGATCAAGAGGCTCTCTCACTTTTTGTTTCTACATATAAGTTGTTATTGCAAAACATACTGTTCCCAGTTGAAAGTCCACACAGACATGAACAATTCAAGCGAGCTTTACAATGGCATGGGGCGAGAACAGGGGTGCCCGTGGTGCTCGCTGAGGTCCGTGCGATGGCGTGTGTGGTGGACACCGTGCCACTGCCTGCATTCACCACTCTATGTGGAGTGGTAAGAGGAAAGGAGGGGCTCTCTGTAGGAACAAAACACTGCTGATCCATGTCAATGATGGCTAGTGGCATGGGAGTTGTCTGTCTCGCTGTCTCTCTGTCTGTGACGGTGCTCTGATTCACAGTCACATTATTGCCAGGGCCCAAGCTGCTTACTGACATGCTTGCAGCAGTGGAGGATGTGCGTTCGATGAGGGCCGGTCCATGTCTATCACCCTGTGTGTCCTCACTGTGGTTGGCCCTCCAGGGGACTGATACAGGGCCAGCCCCAGCAGGGTAGATGTTTAGGGCCGTAAGAGGCTGGCTGGTGGGGGTATAGGTGGACTGGATATTTGGGAAAACAGTTAGCTGTTTGTTGGCAGTGGTGAGTTGTGTGTATGTGGCAGGCTGTGTGTTTGGGGCAAGAGGCTGGATAATTGTGGTAACAGCAGTGGGCTGTATAATTGCAGCACTAATGGTGAGGTTACCAGAGGCAACAGCAGTGAGCTGTGTGTTTGGGGAAGCGGGCGATGCTGTGCTCTCTCTGTGCTCTCTAGGCCAGGCCAGTGTTCCATCAGTTCCAGCAGGCTGAGTGGGCTCTGATTGGCTGCCAGTGAGCGTAGAGGATTGCTGGAATGCAGCCATTGGTCGGGTGGGCATGGAGGCGCCAGCTCCTGAATCCACCGTGTTGGTCGCTCCAGCAGAAAATTTCACTCTCAGAGGGGTGAAGGTGGGGGTAGCCTCTCCTCTCCAATACGAGGAGGGTTTGTTGTCATCGGCCTGTGGAATAAGGGAGATTCAGAAGCATCTGACATGAGCTGGTCGGACCTGGAGGTCACGGTGGAGAGTCCCTCAGACACTGAGGTGTGTGTGTCTGTGTGAATCACACTGCCAAGACCGCTGACCGGCTGTGGCCAGCCTAATTCATGCATATATGCCTGCCACTGGGGCTCATGGGTTACGACGCTGCCATATTCTGACGATGTGCTGCTGATGTGTGGCGTTGGCAGGGCCGGAGAGGGAGAGGGGGCTAGCATGGAGGAGGAGAGGAGATGGCTGGTCTGGGAGACATATTCAGATCCATCATGATAGTTGTGTAAGGTCCCGTGGTGTCCAAGCTGGGATACAGACAGGTTGCTCTGTGTGCTGGGGCAGAAGAGAGAGATCAGAGATGGAGAGGAGGAAGAGCCACTTACGGGTGACATGTGGACTTCCTCTCCTTCCTCTGGAGCCGAGTGTCTCTCCATCCCATCTGTACTTTCCCATTCAGTAACCTTTGTGATATGAAGCTTCTCTGGCAAGGCTGTCTCAGACAGGAGGTCAGAGCTGAGAGAGACCAAGCTGAACGTGGTGGGCAATACATCCACCCACTCCTGTCTGCTTGGGGAGATTGTATTAGGAGGTGAGGACTGAGAGGTGGACCATTCGTCTGTCATGGTGGCTGGGAGGAGGGCCTGATGGTGTGGTTATTCTGTGATAGGAGTGACAGTTAGATGGGATGTACATGACGAACCTCTCAAATTAGAACTGAATGGATTAAAGCCCTCCTGCCCCTCTGTGCTGCCCAACACACTGCTGTCTGATACACCGTTCATATACAACGATGTCTCCAGATCCAGAGGTGAATCTAACCTTATCCCCTCAGTCTGGCTACCTGACTCAGAAGCAATACTCTCACTTAGTATCATACTGGCTACCCTACTGTTGACAGGATGAGAGTTAGTTGAGAAGGAACTCAACTGATTCCTCAAAGTGTAAAACCAGGTCACTGTGGTGTTTGTCAGAGGAAGAGAGGTGTGTTTCCTCAAGGACAGGTGTCAGAGCTGTAGTAAGGACTGACAGAGACAGTGGACTGGGCCTTGTGCCCTCCCGCATTAATAAATCATTTTGAACCTTCATGGAAGGCTGCAGCACACTCGCCTGTGAACTCTCTGAGAGCACCGGCTCTGTCTCAGAGGCAGCTCGCCTGACGTGTCCTGAATGACTAACATCACCAACGCAGGGTAGGGAGAGGTTGGGAGAGGTATGGTTGGAGTGGAGGGGAGGGAGGTAGGGGCCGATATAATATCTGTGATCACAGTTGCCCATAGGCTATCTGGAGGCTGGAGCTGCTGCAGTGTAGCAGACATGGTAGGTATGGGAGTAGGAGTTAGGGTGTAGTAGTCTGTAGGTCTGGAGATCTCCACTGTGAGGTCACTTTCAGAGATCATCTCGACCCTCTTAGAGACTCTTGAGCTCTGGTACTGTTAATAATGAGGGAGACTGTGTGGCGATGTTGTTTGCTCACTGAAGCCGCTGCTGTTTGCTCACTGAAGCCGCTGCTTGGTCGGGACTGATCCGTTTGCAGACCTGTTCTCTCTGGAGCCGTGCTGAAAGAAGGGATTTGAGTCCAGCAGCTGTGTGCTGCCATCACCCCACCCTGCTCCCCAGTCCCAGCCTCTCCTCCAGCCTCTGCCAGCGTGCCTCCTGCCAACGCCTCCCAGGGCAAACTGGGCTCTGATTGATTGCGTAAATGTTCCCCTCCTCCCCTGGCGGTAACAGGGTCGCTCACAGTCACACGATCTGGGCCCTCAGTGCTGACTCCAGCCCCAGCGTGGGAAAGGTTGTGTTGCCCGGAGGCGGCCAGAGCCAGGCCTTCATCCAGGGAGTAGGGCGAGTCATATTGGAAGAGGCTGAAGGGGTCGTCCCCTAGGTCCAGGTCGTAAATGAATGGCTCAAAGCCTGATGTGTCCTCCTCCAGGGGCTCAGTCCAGTTCACAGTGCTGCTGCTTTTCTCTCTGCTGGGACTCAGTGGGACCCAGTGGGGTGCGGCCATGGGCTTATTCTTCTTACGGTTGCTGAGTGATGCTGATGCCACTGCTGGGAAAAATTCCAGGTCCTCTACATCACTACTGTTCCCAACATCCGCCGGTCTCCCTGGGAACAACCCCTGGGGACTGGTCGTGGCCCTGGATACGGCGTGTGTCTTCCTGGCCACCGGCGCTGTTGTTGTTGTGGTCACCTTGAGCCCGGGGGACATGTGTGTTGCTGCTACAGGAGGAGGCTTGTTCGGATAGAGGATGGGTCTGACTGGGAGGCGGGTGACAGTGGCCTCAGGTTTCTTCCTCAAGGGCCAGAAGAGGGGGGTGGAGATGTAGCCCAGGGAGGTTTTAGAGCTGTGGGGGCCAGGCAGGACGTGAGGCCTGGCGTGGGGGGTGGAGGAGGCTGGGGGGTGAGCTGGAGCACAGACCACAGATACACCGTTCTCTCCTTGTCTGTGGCGCCCCAGTCCAGTCAATGTAAAAACGGAGGGGTCAAAGCAGATTACATATTTTAAATGCACACTGACATCCAGAATAGACTGTAGCTGAATAAACAAATACAAAATAGTAGCCTATGATCTTATTCCATAGGCATTAGGCAGACTGCATGGAAGAATACAGTATTAGGATCACCTAGATTTTCGGCAGTTAACTAGACCTTCATTTTGAGGTGACAGAAATGACACAGATCTTTCCCCAATATTGTAAACAGTATCTTGGCTGAGGACAGGATAGAGTGAGAGTGAGAGGACAGGTGAAAACAGGCTGAGAGAGAACAGCTTGCCAAAGGAAGCTGCTGAGTCTCACTACAAACAAGCCAAGGACAAGTCAAGTGTGTGTCTTACCCAGGGTAATGATGTTAGTGGACAAGCCAGTAGAAGACAGGTTAGTCGAGGACGGTGGTGTAGTAGCTTCAGACACTGTTAGCAAGAATGACAGCACAACTAAGTCAGCAAAGAGAGCATCTCATGATGTCCTAAGTGTATGTTTTACCCAGCTGAGCGGAATCGGTGCAATGACAGAGGACACCATAGTAGAAGAAACCAACAACAAAGTAAAAGCTTCAACTACTGAAGAAGAGGAAGATAGAAATAGTATGTGATTACTCAAGTGTCTCATTTTAAAGATGTGTATAGTAACTACTTCTGAAATACTTATAAACACGTACTAAACCCTTGTGACAGCTAGTCTACCTTGATTATATTAGTAATTCTATAGTTGTATCATGGATGCAAAACATAGAAAAATAGACACCCCATGTCTTCAGACTACACTTTGAGATTTGTTTGCACAATGTGCTTGAAAGTTACAGTGACAGAGGCAAGGTGTACTGAACAAAGGTACACAGTATCTTTTTTTTCTGCAAAGCCTTAGAACAAACACAGCCAGACCACGAGCAGCAGATGTGTCTTACTCGGAGTAGTAGTGATGTTAGCTGGTGTTTTAGTAGTAGTAGTGATGTTAGCTGGTGTTTTAGTAGTAGTAGTGATGTTAGCTGGTGTTTTAGTAGTAGTAGTGATGTTAGCTGGTGTGTTAGTAGTAGTAGTGATGTTAGCTGGTGTGTTAGTAGTAGTAGTGATGTTAGCTGGTGTGTTAGTAGTAGTAGTGATGTTAGCTGGTGTTTTAGTAGTACTAGTGATGTTAGCTGGTGTGTTAGTAGTAGTAGTGATGTTAGCTGGTGTGTTAGTAGTAGTAGTGATGTTAGCTGGTGTTTTAGTAGTAGTAGTGATGTTAGCTGGTGTTTTAGTAGTAGTAGTGATGTTAGCTGGTGTGTTAGTAGTAGTGGTGATGTTAGCTGGTGTGTTAGTAGTAGTAGTGATGTTAGCTGGTGTTTTAGTAGTAGTAGTGATGTTAGCTGGTGTGTTAGTAGTAGTAGTGATGTTAGCTGGTGTGTTAGTAGTAGTAGTGATGTTAGCTGGTTGTTGTTTTAAGTAGGTGATGTTAGGGTTTAGTAGTAGTGATGTTAGCTGGTGTGTTAGTAGTAGTAGTGATGTTAGCTGGTGTGTTAGTAGTAGTAGTGATGTTAGCTGGTGTGTTAGTAGTAGTAGTGATGTTAGCTGGTGTGTTAGTAGTAGTAGGGGAGTAGTTGTCACTGTTAGCAAGAGTAAGGGATAGAAAATGAAATTCACAATTAAGAGAGACACTTGAGAAAAAAGGGAACAAAAAATCCTGAAAATACACAGTTGATATTGAATTGTCCCCAATCAGTCCTTAGTCACTAACAGGCAAAAAGGGAAAGTAGACTGTCTTACCATGCACTGTGTTGTTAGTGGTAGGTGAGTTAGTCGTAGCTGGGTTTGAAACAATAGTTGTAGCAGAAGCTGTCGGTGCTAGTAGAACATGGGTGGAAAATTGTTAAAAAACGGTTAGAAAATAAAATGGAAGGCAATAACGGCAAAACACACGATACAGCGCCACTATACGTGTTTCCAAAATGTCAAGAACCACTTAGACAGTATTCACTGCTGAGTCCATTGTTTAAAGGAAGCTACATGGGCAAACATACTCCCATTGAGAAGCCATGACAATTGCTTTCCCAGCCTAATCCATGTGGAAAGTTCCAAGTTGGTCAAGGATAGCACTGCTTTCAAACCCATTCCCCACACATAAAGAAACCTGCCACAAGCCGATTTTTCCATGAGTACAAAACAAGAAAAAAAAAATACACATCTTACCATTGGTTGTGCTGTAGAATAGAGTTCTGTTAGTAGTGGCTGCTGCAGATGGGATAACGATTTGAGTAACTGGTGACAAGGACAGCAAATGTGAACTAAATTGTTTGAAAGAGTGAAATGAACACACACACACACAAACAATAAGCAATGCGCTAGAGAGTATGCATGGGGTTATATGGGTCAACATGTGGCCATGCCATTTACAACATCACTGGCAAGAGCTCTCATCTTTACCTTTTTTCCTGAAGGTAAATGACAATGCAGTGACTGCCAAATGTCATGTGTTTGCTAAATGTTATGAGAGGGAAATCAGACTAAACTAAATAGACATATTATATGAAGGTACCAAATTGAAGTGTTTATGAAGGGCTTATAAGTAACACATGCAGAAAAAATGCAATTTGCACTATAACTATAATCAGATACAATTTGCATAAACTGCGATCAGTTCCATTGGGAGAGATACCTTACCAGTGGTTGAGCTGAATAATGTTGGCACATTAGTTGTAGGTGCAGTAGTGATCGTGGTAGTGGTTTGAACTGGTGACATTTACAGCACAAGACAGCAAAAATAATGTATAATAACAAAGTGGTTAATGGTTGAGGCTCTCATCTCTTAGAGGGAAAATAATGTTGAGAAGTAAAGATGGTACCTTACCAGTTGTTGAGCTGGTAGATAGAGGCATGCTAGTAGTGGTGGCAGATGCAGTGGTAGCAGAGAGAACTGGTGATAAGGATGGATAGCAGACAGTATGAGATTAGATGAATAAAGGATGGTGAAGTATTGACAGCAGAGGTTGAGATCATAGATGTAGATGGGTATGAATGAGGACAGGACAGTTACACATTTGACTGTCAAATGAACCATTGTACTCTGTTTTGGATAGGGCCTAACCTACACTCTTATAAAAAAGGGTTCGACAAATATTACAACAACAAGCAACACTCAAACATGACGGAGGGTAAACGAGGAGAATCAATCTCCAAGAGAAAACGTGACTCCTCGACGGATACAGATTATTTATGCTTTTCACCACTGGGACTGGTAAGTGTGGAAAGCGATCTATTGAAGTCGATAAATGACAAACTGGGCATACTAGAGTTGGTCAGTAAGGATGTAAAAGAGTTGAAGGCGAGTCTTGAAATGAGTGACGAAAAAGCTGTGATAATGGAGAAAGCTAAAAGGGACAGTCACTAACATAGAAACGGACGTTAAGGAACTTAAAAGGGAGAACAACTTTCTGAGAGAAGCCTTACTAGACATACAGACTAGATCGATGAGAGAAAATCTAGTACTTACGGGTATCCAAGAAAAATAAGGAGAGGTTACCGAAAAAATTGTGAAGGACTTATTTCTTACAGCGCTTCAAATCCAACTCGATGCTGTCGATAAAATCCAACTGGAATGTGTACAGAGGACAGAGATATGAGTGTCCAATCGTTGCCAAATTTGCTTTCTTTAAGGATAAAGTAATGGTTAAAAGCCTAGGTAAAAGACGAGGGAGATTGCAGAACGGCGCAAAGTTCTGTACCCAATCTTCAAGGAAAATAGATTAAAAAGGAAGCGTGTTGCTCTCGTAGTTGATAAACTGTATATTGACAACCAAATGTTCTGCGACACAAAGACTACTCCATGGCTATTCTGAAAGTTCTAATAGAGGAGTCAAATAATGGAACACCCAATACTAGCCATGGTAGGGATTGTAATAATAAAACACTTTTATAGTATTTATAGTATTTTACAAAGGGATAAGACGGTATTAAAAGAAAGGATAACAAGCAAAATAATAAATCTTCAAATATAACTAATTAGAACAGTTGGTAGAGCATGGCGCTTGCAACGCCAGGGTTGTGGGTTCCTTTCCCACGGGGGGCCAGTATGAAAAAATGTATGCACTCACTAACTGTAAGTCGCTCTCGATAAGAATGTCTGCTAAAATGAAAAAAATACTCAATCAACATAGTGGAGATAAAAACATAGTAAACAGAAGACATAGAAGGCACAGTATGTGGGTATGTGTGGATGTATTGTGATGGAAGGTGTGGTGTGCGTTTTTGTGTTTGGAAAAGTGTGGCGTTAAGTGAATGAGAAAGGAAATGGTGGCATATCCCAGAACCAACGTGTGTCTGTGAGCAGGGGTTGTGAGAGAGAGCTTTCAATTTTGTGCAGATGAGGGATATACATTTTAAAATAAAGTATACATCTAATCTATTATTTTATTGTCCTATCATGATGGAACGGTCCCCCACCCTATATCCTAGACACCCACCTGAGCAACCCATACACCAAAGAAAAGTCCCCATCTGTTTTATGGCCCTGCTGTAAGTTACCTATATGCAGCGAAAACAGAAAGATAAATGCAGTCAGAGACCTACTAGAGCAGCGCTGCCCCCTCAAGATTCTGAGCCTGCCTGGCAGGGTTGGTCCAACAAAGCCAGAGCCCCATGATGGGAGAGCATAATATACAAGGAAATTCTCAAAGCTGCTAATGAGAACCTTGACGACCTTGTACCTAGCCGGTGGGGATTCCGGTGGGGTACCCCCACCCAGGTAGTTTCAGTGCTGGCATGCTTTGTAAGTAGGAAAACCTGCAAAATCGGCAGTGTATCAAATACTTGTTCTCCCCACTGTATATGGACACTCAATCACTATGGTATTTTTTATAGGTACATTTACAATGATATATTATGATAAATAGATTTGAAAGCTGTATCTCATTATGGTAAGTGGTGAAATAAGTATAGCCAGTTAAAATTGTAATGGCTTAGCAGATAATAACAAAAGAAGAACAATATTTACATGGCTCAAAGAGAAGGAATATAATATCTATTGTTTACAGGAAACTCATTCAACAATTCTAGAT